AAAGTACCTGCGAAAGACAAAAGTGTTGTCGACAACTTCGCAGTGTAGACATACCCTTAGCCTCCACTATACTCCTCACTGGGAGTAGCTTTAGAGACAAAACCCCCATTCAGCAAGGTTAAGCATCTAACTAAGTTTGTAAGTAGTCCCCTTGAACTCAATTTGAAGTCACACCTCTTTAGTGACAAGCACATGCTTTAAGCACCCTGGCTGAACTAAGGCCTTGGCTACGCTGGCAATTCACAGTGCTGCACTTGCTGTGCTCAGGAGCGTGAAAAAAACCCCCCCCCCCCGAGCGCAGCGCTGTAAAGCGCCAGTGTAATCAGCGCCTGCAGCGCTGCACGCTTGCTCGCAGCGCTGGGAAAGCTATTTCCCTCGGAGAGGTGGGGTACTTGCAGCGCTGCGAGAGAGCTCTCGCAGTGCTGGCGGTGCGACTACACTCACTCTTCACAGCGCTGCTGTGGCAGCGCTGTGAATCCGCGAGTGTAGCCAAGGCCTGAGGCCATTACCACTAAAAATTAGTCAGTTTAGGTTTTTCCTCTAAATTGCTTTCTAGGAGGGACTGGGCTGCTGGTCCATCAGGTAGCTCCTTCACTCACCTGATGCACTACTTTTGGCATCTCTCAGCTAGCAAGCGGCCTATCCTCACTAAGCAGTTTTCATCAGCAGGAGTCAGATTCCTACCCATAACCTAAAACCAGAACAAAGTAGGATTTCTGGATGTGATTCCAACTTGGAGTCTCATGGAAAAAAATTATAGGTAGGAAATGTCCCTTTCAACAATTTTTCCCCCTAGAAGCATCGGGTATGCACTGATGCACTAGAGGGATGTGTGAACTTACTATACAAGTTCTATAGTTGTGACACACTTTCTTTTGTTGTATTTCTAATAAGAGACATTTTAAAGTATGTGAAAGGTAGAAAACTGCTGAATGTTTTTTATACAGATACCTGGGTAGAGCAACTGCTGTTCAATGATTAAACTAAACATTATCCAAGACAGGTTTCAGTCTTCACTAAGCAATTCAATTCGGCTTAAGCTGACAATGAATACTCCCATACTCGCACAGGAAAATGATAAAAGGCAAGAACACCATTTCACCTGTTGGTGAACACTTATCACAAAGCGATCACTATCTGACCTCTCAGTCCTTATCTTCAAAGGAAACCTGAACAAGTTTCAAAAGATGAGCCTGGGAGCTTAAATTCGTAACTGCTAGACACTAAAAATCATGGGGTTCGTCTACACTACAAAATTAGGTAGACAAGTTGTGTCAACCTACAACCACCACAGTAATTAAATCAGCTGTTGGTGTCCACTACCCTCCTCCTGACAGTGGTGCGCATCCTCAGCAGGCACATTGCACCAACTCAAGTGGGACACTGACAGCCATGCAAGGCTCACAGCTGGCATCCCCCCACCCCAGGGTGGACAGCCCCAGCTATGAGCCAGGTACTGGGCTCAATTTCACAGCAGGGAGCCTACCAGCAATGAAACTGATATCCTCAGACTCTTTCCCCCCCCCCCGCCCCTCACCACCCCCCCCTGGGAGGTGGCAGCAGGGCTCTGGGCTGTCAGCCCTCATGTAGGGCTGACAATCAACAGGCGATGTAAGTAACGCAGTGTCTCTTCAGCCAATGCATCGCCCTAATTACATCAACCTGAACGCTACACCTCTTGTAGAGGTGGAGTTATTAGAACTATGTAGTGGGCATCTTACATTCGCGGGAACACCATTCTAGTGTAGACACTTGCTGCCTTACATTGACCTAACTCTGTAGTGTAGACCAGGGCATGGTCTTAATAAGGATGCTGAATTTATGGCTTATTACAACAATCTGTAACCCACTAATCTACCTTTTTGTCTAGGACTACAGGGGTGTTAACCAACCACTTTGACTGTGTGCTAATTACTTATGCTAAACTATCTGTTCAATCTTGTATTTAGCTGTGACACTCTGAGTACCTTTCCCAAACCTGGGGAAGAGCTCTGGGCAGCTCAAAAGTTTCTCTTTCTCCCCAACAGAAGCTGGTCCAATAAAAGATATCTCAGCCACCTTCTCTCTCTACTGCCATACTAGACACTAATTATTGCATCTGTTTACCATTTGAGTAAATTTTCTGCATTTGTTTGCAAGGTAGCTTATTAAGCTCAATAATTGAAAGTCTAGCATAACTAAGACTATTGGGGGAGAAAAGTTATTTTGTAAAGCAGATATTTGTGACCTGAAATTTGTTAGCAGGTCTTATATTAACCTAAAAAAATTATAATGGAAATCTGTTGTGGCTGAAAAGTCAAAAAAGGATGCATTGTGG